ACAGAAAAGCTTGACTAGTGCTTTTTCTTTCACCCAACCAAGCACAGCACTTGAGAAGTCCTGCCATTGAATTCTGCAAAAATAAGCTGTGATGCTCTTTGTTGTTGCCTTATCTCTCCTGAACATTTATATTTCTATAGCTCCTAGCTATATTGTGCCAAGTCTCTCTCCCTCTCTTACTTACACACACACACACACACACACACAGAGAGAGAGAGAGAGAGCGCGCAAGCATTTGCTAGCTCAAAAGCAAACACAGTAATAGCAGATGACTGACACAAGCACATTGGAATTGACAGGGTTGCGTGTAATAGGTATCATTTTAATTACTATTTATTGATGCAGAATCTTCACTATATGTAGCAAGTTGCAGACTGAAGGTGTATATAGGTGAGTCAATCATATTTCTTAAAGTTGCGACAGTCCCCACCATGTTTCAATCCTCCTAATACATTGGAACCCACAGGAATCTTGCAGGAGGTGGGAGGCACACAACTTTTGTAACAGTATTTTGCAAACAGAAAGTGAACAAGGTTTGAAATTCTGTGCCTGAAAAAGGTGATCGGTCGTATTTGGAAGCATGCAAAGAAAATAATAGGAAACTTCGGGAATGGTTGGGATGGTTCTTAAAACAGGCAAAACCTGAGCTCAACCCAAGGGGATTGTTTCGTCTAACACATTTGTTTTCATCACTTGTGACTCACACCTGGGTCATGCCCAGTATAAGCTGAGTCACACCATAATCACCCTCCACCGCTTCCTTTTTAAGGTTTGGTAGGAGGAGAAATAAAATTACAAGGTGAAAGAAGGGAGAAAAGGTGAAGGAGGGACATATATAGGCTGGATCCAGACACATCAAAAAAAGTGTTTCAGGAAAACACATTGTAAACTTCATAAAAGTCAGGACTCACCGTGTTATAATGCTTATAAAGTGCTTTTTCTTTACTAACGTAGCTGAGTCCATAGTTAAATGAAGAATGCACCCTATATTACAGTTTGGGTTTAAAAATGGGTCCTTTATTTGAAATAGTTGAAGATCTGGTCTAACAGCCAAGAAGCTGCCTGACTGAGGTAGAGTGAGACAGGATTAAAAATAAGAGAAGTGTTTTAATCACCTTCTGTTGCAAGGGACAACAAGTGAATGTGGTTTTATAGTGGTATATAGCATGGTAAGGCTGGGCTGGATGAATCCCAAGCCGGGATCACCAGAAGAAATATCAACAACCTCAGATATGCAGATGACACAATCTTGATGGCAGAAAGTGAGGAGGAATTAAAGAACCTTTTAATGAGGGTGAAAGAGGAGAGCGCAAAATATGGTCTGAAGCTCAACATCAAAAACGAAGATCATGGCCACTGGGCCCATCACCTCCTGGCAAATAGAAGGGGAAGAAATGGAGGCAGTGAGAGATTTTACTTTCTTGGGCTCCATGATCACTGCAGATGGTGACAGCAGTCATGAAATTAAAAGACGCCTGCTCCTTGGGAGAAAGGCGATGGCAAACCTAGACAGCATCTTAAAAGCAGAGACATCACCTTGCCAACAAAGGTCCGTATAGTTAAAGCCATGGTTTTCCCAGTAGTGATGTACGGAAGTGAGAGCTGGACCATAAAGAAGGCTGATCGCCGAAGAATTGATGCTTTTGAATTATGGTGATGGAGGAGACTCTTGAGAGTCCCATGGACTGCAAGAAGATCAAACCTATCCATTCTTAAGGAAATCAGCCCTGAGTGCTCACTGGAAGGACAGATCGTGAAGCTGAGGCTCCAATACTTTGGCCACCTCATGAGAAGAGAAGACTCCCTGGAAAAGACCCTGATGTTGGGAAAGATGGAGGGCACAAGAAGAAGGGGACGACAGAGGGTGAGATGGTTGGACAGTGTTCTCGAAGCTACAAACACGAGTCTGACCAAACTGTGGGAGGCAGTGGAAGACAGGAGTGCCTGGCGTGCTCTGGTCCATGGGGACACGAAGAGTCGGACACGACTAAACAACAACATAGCATGGTAAAGAGATGGTAGCTTGTGTATAACATTAGATAAAATACTCAATCTGGTCTAATTAAAACTATACAAAGGAGTCACCTCTGATCCGAGGAAGGCAGATCCACATAATACATTTAAAGCACATCCAACAAGCATTTAAAATGCATGACTTTCCCCCAAAGCATCCTGCGAACTGTGGTTTGTTACGGGTTCTGGGAATTGCAGCTCTGTGAATGGGAAACTACAATGTCCAGAATTCTTTGGAGGAAGTCATGTGATTTAAATGTAGGATAAATGCAAAAGATTGCTTTTATACATATACTGCAATTTGCTGTTACCATATCAGGAAGACATCCCGAAAGCAAATTAAGCACCCCCAGAACCCCTCAGGGAAAGCCCAGTTGCTCATTGGAAGAAAGAAGACCTTCTTCAGTTCCTGCTGAGAATAAACCTGGCTTTTTGCTCACTTGCCAAGTATTCCCAGGAAGGGCACCCTGTCAATGAGCTGGAAATGGATTGCTCTGGCTTTCCCATTTCGCAGACCTGATGTTGTCTTTTCCTGGATCTTTGCCCAGCAATGTTCTCTCTCAAAAGCTTTTCAGTTGTATCTGAATGTGATATCCGACAACAGATGACAATCCTTGACAGGAATTACAGGAAGAATTTGCTTGGGAAATCTCATCTGTTAAATTCCTTCTACAATTAGTTCTGCCGCTGCGTATTAGTATTCCATCATGTAGTTTTCAAGGATGGTCCTTCGTGAAACTAAGAGCACAAAGATAAGGTTTTCCTGTTTTTATCTGGGTTTGAACAATATGAATCCTGTTGGAAGCTCAAGTAGCTATATCCTGTTTCTGAACTATCGTTTTTCTATGTGCATGCTGTCTGGTGGTAATTTAACGGGTTGCATAAATATGAATAAAGCTTAACAAACTAAAGCACAAGATTCTAGATCCCTTATACAAATGCCCCCTTTTTTGACATTTTGACTACTTGGGAAAAGGGCAAACGTCACCTAGCAGAGCAGATACTCTAACTGAAGCCACAGCTCCAGTCAGCTTACCAGGTGTGACCATTCCATACCTTCATCATTTCTCCAATGAAAATAAAAAGGTAAAGGTAAAGGGACCCCTGACCATTAGGTCCAGTCGTGACCGACTCTGGGGTTGCGGCACTCATCTCACTTTATTGGCCGAGGGAGCCGGCGTACAGCTTCCGGGTCATGTGGCCAGCATGACTAAGCCGCTTCTGGCGAACCAGAGCAGCGCATGGAAACACCGTTTACCTTCCCACTGGAGCGGTACCTATTTATCTACTTGCACTTTGACGTGCTTTCGAACTGCTAGGTTGGCAAGAGCAGGGGAGCTCACCCCGTCGTGGGGATTCGAACCGCCGACCTTCTGATCGGAAAGTCCTAGGCTCTGTGGTTTAACCCACAGCGCCACCCGTGTCCCTTTAGGGATGTCCTAAATGATAATGATAATGATAATGATAATGATGATGATGAAAATAATTTCATTATTTATAGCCCACCCATTTGGCCGGCTTGCCCCAGCCACTCTGGGCGGATTCCAACATATATAAAAACACAATGAAACATTAAACATTTTTTTTAAACTTCCCTATATGGGGCTGTCTTCAGATGTCTTCTAAGGGTTATATAGAGGGTTGTATAGTTACTTTGCTTCTTGGCTCGGACGTCGCATAACCCCGTACCACCCAACATTTCTCCGATGAAAATAGAGACATCCTAAGGAAAAGTGGGATATTCCGAGATTGAATTAGAAACCAGGATGGCTTCTGTAAATCCGGGACTGCCCCCGGAAAATAGGGACCTTGGAAGCGTCGGCCATTCCACAGGGCCAAATCTGTCCCTGCCCTCCTTGTCCCCCTTTCACACAGAGACATACTTATCTCTCTTGCAGGTCATTTTTATCCAATTCCAAACAGCAGGAACAGAGTAAGTCTATTTGGGATTAGGCATGATGGGGTGGGGGTGGGGGCAAAGACGTAAAACTCCCTCTGTGTGTGTGTGTGTTTTTAACAAAAAACAGCTACACAAGGACAAATTTTGCCTCTTTATACATCAGCGCATGATGTCAAAGTTGAGAATTGCAGTTTTATTAATGCAAAGTTAGATATGTTTCTTTGTGGATGTTTTCTGCCCATGGATCATTCTGATGAAAATGTGGACTAAAGATACTGCAAACAAGCAGTATTAAATTCTCGGCTACTAATTTCTCATTGTATAGGGGCTAATTGTGTAAGTGTCTTAATAACTGCATTAATCCCAATACTGCATTACTAAATAGAGTCTTCATTGAAAAGGAAGCATTATTTTGGTAAATTCTTCATTGCCACTATTTCATTCTTCCTGTTAATACCAAATGCAATGGGAAAATCATATTCTTTCCCCTGTCAGCTTTCATTTCTAGAAATGCAAGTCAATTGCATATCTGTTCTGGGTATCGTTCAGTCATCATTGCCTTTCCTCTTTAGGAAGCGTGTGTTTCTCATTGTTGCTATTCTTATCCTCACCCTTGTAAAACATTTATAGAGCCTTGTAAATCTGCATTGTGCTTTATGGAAGATAGATAAGGCATCTTCCATGCTCCAGGTTTTGCCTTGTAAACTGAGAGGGGAACCTTTGCATAATGTGTCCCATGCCTACTGGGTAGTCTTACAATAGCCTCATGCAACAAAAGCAGGGTTTTACCTGATGAAATGCATAGCAGGGTTCACAATAGTGACCATCTAATTGCCCGTTGATGCCACATAGATAATGTTCCTCTCCATATGGCTTTTGTATTTCAGGAAGGGATCTCAGAGGACTTCTCTGAACATCAAGTACCTATTGCACTACTGCTATGAAATGCAAAAAGAAATTAAAATGGGAATCTTATTTATTTATTTACTTATTTTATTTTATTACAAGTAATTATTATTTGTCCAAATGAATGTTTTAAACTACAACCACCACAATTCCATGCTGGCTGGGACTGGTGTGAGTTGTAGCCCCAAACATAGCTCAGTTGGTAGAGCATGAGACTCTTAATCTGCTGGTTATGGGTTCAAATCCTACATTGGGCAAAATATTCCTGCATTGCAGGGGGTTGGACTAGATGATCCTTGTGGTCACTCCCAGACTCTACAATTCTATGAAATGTAAGTCAAATACATCTGAAGGTCACCAAGATGGGCAAGACTACTGTATAGCGTATTCTGATTTCATTTCAGAGCGTATAAATCTTAGTCAGGGCTTCCCACTAAACCTCATAATGTCTGTGGTTTTTAAGCACTAGGACCGATGCAGCCATGCCCAATATCTGCACCGTCATATTCTTAGCCTAACTCTCCTTCATATATTTTTAAAGATATACACATGACTGGGAGTGGCCGCTGAGACCATATAACACTGGTCCTGAAAGACCTACATTGGCTCCCAGTACATTTCTGAGCATAATTCAAAGGGTTGGTGCTGACCTTTAAAGCCCTAAACGGCCTCGGTCCAGTATACCTGAAGGAGCATCTCTACCCCCATCGTTCAGCCTGAACCCTGGGGTCCAGCACCGAGGGCCTTCTGGTGGTTCCCTCGCTGTGAGAAGTGAGTTTACAGGGAACCAGGCAGAGGGCCTTCTTGGTAGTGGTGCCCACCCTGTGGAACGCCCTCTCATCAGATGTCAAGGAAATAAACAACTGGCTTTTAGAAGATATCTGAAGGCAGCCCTGTTTAGGGAAGGGTTTACTGTTTGATGTTTTATCATGCTTTTAATATTCTGTTGGGAGCCGCCCAGAGTGGCTAGGGAAACCCAGCCAGATGGTGGGGTATAAATAATGAGTTGTTGTTGTTGTTTGTTGTTGTTATAGCTAACACCATGGCTGGCCTGCTGATGAAGTAGACTGACCTCAGGCAGCAGAAGCCCACAGGACAGTGCCCCCATGGGTGCTTCACCTGCCCCGTCGCTGTCAGGGTTGTGTGGCGCGACTTCCAGCAAGATCTCATAGAGCTCATACGAGATTTCATAGAACTCTTGTGAGTGAGGCTTTGGAGGGGGGTAGAGGTGAGCAGGCATGCAAGTTCCATTGTAGGCGGAAAATAAGAAGACTATGAGAACAAGGCTAAAAAGAAAACTAAGCATTGTTTACATGATAATAGCAATAGCAATAATAATAGTAATAGTAATAATAATAATAATAATAATAATAATAATAATAATTTTATCCTGCCCATCTGGCTGGGTTGCCCTAGCCACTCTGGGCGACTTCCAACACATATAAGAACCTAATTAAACATCAAACATTAAAAACGTCCTGATACAGGGCTGCCTTCAGGTGTCTTCTAAAAGTTGTATAGTTATTTATTTCCTTGACATCTGATGAGAGGGCGTTCCACAGGCAGGTGTGACTACCGAGAAGGCCCTCTGCCTGGTTCCCTGTCTATAATTATTTAAGTTACATTATATTCATTATCCTCTATAAGGTTGCTGTCGTGCATGCAGTAAAAGTCACCGATGCTATGAGAGGAAGAGAGAAAAACTTGAAGCCTGACATTTCATCAAAACAAAGAATGTCGTAAAATGTTACACTTAGTTGCAAATGGGACATTTTCTCCATAGGGGGTCTTCTTAAGCATTAGCAGTACTGAAAATGGCAGATGCAAAGTCACACAAGGATGCAAACATTTCATTTCTAGGAAGGAAATGCACTAGCAAGAGCTTTGAAGATGGCCTGTCTCGTAGTGATTTATGCAGCATATGGCCTCCTGTGGTAATGTGAGCACTGGACTCATTCTTTTCAAAAACAGAGTAGACCCTTCAAAACTGTGCGGTGTTATCTGGCAAAACACAGCAGCGACATATGGAAAAACAGAAATTATATAGGTGGACAGATGGGCAATTTGCACTCACTGCCTTGGTTTGATTGTAGAAGAGTAAAGACCATCCACTTTCAGTGAAATATCATTGGAGTGGTGTGGAATGAAATAAGAGCTGTTTCTTGCATACCAACTAGAGCAACATTAATAGAGCAAGTTCAATGAGCCCTACTTCCAGGTAAGGAGCCATAGGAACAGCCTAAGATTTAAAAAGGATAGGGTTATATTTTCTAAAGACACCTGCATTTTCAGTACTAACTGCTTGTTCTGATCAGTCCTGCATAACTGCTGGATATGACATGAGTTTCAGGTAGATAAATCAAGTGTTTTGATGGCAAGAACGGCAGACATCCATCAGCAGACGTGCTTCAAAGATCTGCTTTACAGCGGAGTGCAAAGTATATGCAAGATCAGCAACAACACTGAGATGTTTTGTAGTGGAATTACAGTGTAGCAAACAAAGAGGTGGATATTTAAAACCAAAATATAAAGTTTGGAGGGGGGGACTCGTGCCTGTTAAATCAAGTTGACTGAACACAGCAAGATCCACGTGCATTGCCAATATATGTGTCCATAAATTCATTGCAGATTCAAGGTAAGATATAACCATGGTTAAATATACCCACTGCCACCTGCATTATAGTAATGTGAGAAGCGAAGTTATAGTCACTGCAAGAAGCGAAGTTACAGGGAACCAGGCAGAGGGCCTTCTCGGTAGTGGCGCCCACCCTGTGGAATGCCCTCCCACCAGATGTGAAAGAAATAAACAACTATCTGACTTTTAGAAGACATATGAAGGCAGCCCTGTTTAGGGAAGTTTTTAATGTTTGATCTTTTACTGTGTTTTTAATATCCTGTTGGAAGCCACCCAGAGTGGCTGGGGAGGCCCAGCCAGATGGGCAGGGTGTAAAAAAATTATTATTATTATTATTATTATTATTATGAGATCACTTCCAAGTTCTAGGGGTGCAGCATTCAGTTTCCTTTGCATGTTTTTGCTATAGTTGGTTTATTTACAGAGAGATACAGGCCCAACAAAAGAGGAAAGTCCACATCACTAACACTCATGGCTTATCCACACTTCCTTTTGTACCACTGCTTTCCCCTAGAGAAAACTGCTCTTTAGCGCTCAGTCGGAGCAAACAGCAATTTAGGTTTCCTCCAGATTGACATTTGCACTGATTTAGCACTAAAGAGCAGGTTTTCCAAGGGAAAGTCATGGGGCAAAGGTAAAACTGCTTGGACCTGTGCCTAGAAAGCACAGAATCAGGCCCATGATTTTTAGGTACAGTGCAAGCACAAGTCTTGACTGAGCCCTCAAAACTGACAATACTCCCACATTCGGTTTCTAGTGGGGCACCAGTAGCATAGGATTCTTCCACAGAAGCACCTCAGTTTTCTGTGTCTGCCTTCTCAGTCTGACTCAGTTTGAATCCAAGGGTGCTTCCAGACTGTGGCTATTTTGGGATGGATTCAGTCACATATGGGCAAATTCAGATTGCACAGGAAAGATTTAGTGCTCTTGCATGGTGATGAACCTGCTCCATGATGTACTTTTTGCAGCAAGGATAGTTTTAGTTAAAAGCACTGGAAAGTGTGGGAGAACAGCCGCTTGCTGCAATGCCATATAACTGGGGTGCCAACTCTAGAGAGCAGAGGTGTCGTCAGTCTTCTCAATACTCCTTAGCTCAGCCTCCTGAATATTGAGGGGGAAGAGGAGGCTGAAATACTGAGAGAGGTCAGACCAGCCTGTGAACCATTTTCTAACACTGCACATGTTATGTAATGAAGTTCTCACCCTGGGCCAGCAGGGGGATACTGCAGATAGTTTTCACTCAGGTCCACATATGCAAATAAGGGATTGAAAGTGATGTTCAGTGATTGGATAGTTACAGAAAGTTGTTACAGTTGTGTTGTAGTGGAGCTCTATATAAGCAGGCTGGCTGAACCCTTCAGTTCAGTTCTGTTCTGGCCTGTGAATGAACAAGAGCTGTTTGAAGAATCGCTGTGTCGTCTGTTATGTTCACCCACAACTTAACAGCACAAGACAGTGAAGCCTTCTGCTAGGCCTCACACCAGGCCTCATTAGGCCCAGCAGTGTCTTGTGACACTGTGGGGACCGCCAGAGCCTAGTAGAAGGCTGCATTGGCCTGTGTGGCATTTCCTGACATGGGATAGGCTGGTGCAACCTTCTGCTAGGCCGTGATGTTACACTCGTGCTGCCCTGCTCCCTGACTTTGGGGGCATCGGAGTGCCTGTGCTATATAACATCTCCACAAACAATTCCGAAGGAATGCTCAGTAGATAGCTGACACTATCTAACCTCCCTGCAAACGCTGTGGAAACAAATCGGGATGAACGCTCAAGATCACTTGAAAGCAACCTGAAACTGCTGGCTGAGCCTAGTGCCTCCCCATGGTTAGGCAGATGACAGAAGTGTGAGTCACTCCCCACGCCTCCGCTGCCCTTGCCCGTTTACAAAGATAGCAGCTGAGCAGATGACCATCGGCTAACACAGACATACCCGGACAAAGTCTTACCCAAACCACTTCCCATTACGCTTACTAATCCTGGATCTTTTACAATCAGAGTCACTGGGTTTGAAGAGATTCTGTGAGGAACCATTCCTAAACTATAAAAGTAGTGATCCCATCAGCAACATATGAGTTGGCTGGATGCCTCTTTTGATTCATCCACGAGCATCATTATGAGTAACTATGTGGCTGCAAGTGCAGCTTGGATGCGGTTTGCATCTTCAGTTTCTCCTTCAAGTAGGTACAGGATCTTAAAGTGATGAAATAAGAAAGCTGGTTCTTTACTAGGCTTATTTCAGTGCTCATGGGCAGTGGTTTTTTTGGGGGGGGGGGCGTGGGTACCTAGGCATGTACAATTTTTTTATGCTGAATGTAGGTGGGTTCCCACGTGGCAAGACACAGTGATAACAGCAAAAACCTTTATTGAACTAACAGAACTAAACAACAGGGGCAAAGCGACAGCTTATATACATTTCTGAAGGCCTGGGCCACTCCCACTCCCAACATGATTGGCTGTCTAAACTTCCAAGCTGAGAATCGTAAGTCAGAGTTTAAGGGCCAATGGCAGAGGCCCAAATCCTGAAATGTTCTGTGATTGGATATCATGTATTGAATCAGAACACATGGGCTCAGAATCCTTAGTCCAGACTCAAGCTCAGGCAAACACAGACCACTGAATACAT